CAGGCTGGAGCAAGCAGAGAGCCCCAACCCTGTGCTAAGACACTTCTCAAGGCCTCCAAGGGCGAGGAACTGCAGGAGCAAGGGTGGCTGTCACACGTCACCTCCCAGCTCTGCCAGCTCCTCCCAGCCCTGGCCTCGGGCTCCCTGCTCCACCCTGGAACCTCTCACCAGCTCTGCCAGATGGTGGCACAGGGCTCCGAGTGTCCACGCTGGAAGCCAACCAGGATTTCACACCAAATGAGTCTCAAAGGCAGGAATTAAACCACAGCAAAACTTCCAGTCGCTGCCCTGGCTGTCAGCTGATTTCCTGCCTCCATTTAACTTCAAAGCAGCTCCATCTTCCCAGGGATGCACACAGCGAGCCTCTATCCCTTCCCCAGGTTGGATTTGGGTACCAGCAGGAGATGTAAGAGCCCTTTAAGTACCTCCTCCATCTTCTTTCCTAGCCATTAAACACCCCCACGGGCACTGAGGTGGAGATGTCCCGCTCCTATTTCATCCAAGGCTCATTTAACACGTCCCTTCCATCACCCAGAGTGCTGGAATCCCACACGGGCCTCTCACGAGCCATAAAGCACACAGGGGGTGCACAATGGATTCATCCTCCCAGCTCAGCAATTCCTTTGGAGCTCTCCCCGGCCGCTGGAACCGCTGGATCTGTGTCCTGGTGGTGGTTTGGGTGAGGAAAACAAACGGCCTGGGCTGATATGGGAAGGGTTTCGAGTAAAAAAGGGGAAGTGTCAGAGTTCAAATCTGGAGGGTTTTGGTTGTGTATAAATATCAGCGTCAAGCAAACAGGAAGGCAGAGCAGCTGCTCAGAGCAGCACCAGGACAGGGCAGGGAGAGCTCCGGGTATCCAGAGGGATGGATGGAATATGGTCTCCATGCAAAGGGCAGCCTGGTTGGAACTGTAATCCAGAGCTCTGCCAGGTCAGGTTTCGACAGCTCCCGGGAGCTCGCTGTGTCCCAGCCCATGACAGAGCAAGTCCTGGTGTCTGCAGCACCACCCCGGCTGCTGAGATGGCTGGAGAGCACAGCACCAGGGAGAAACGGGCACTGGGAATGTGGAGACGGCACAAATCCACGGGAAAAAACAACAGGAGCGACTCGAAGGTATCGGCGCTTCCAGGCTTGTTTGAGACCATCGGCTCTTCCTTCGCGAGCAGGGACCGGTTGCGAATAGACCTTGTGGAGGCAGGAGCCTTGAGGAATGGAGGGAGGCGAGGAGGTTTCCATGGATTTCCTCCAAGTAGGGCGGCAGTTCAGGGAGGCTCAGACAGACCGACGGAAACCCGAGCCAGCGCTGCTCCGGCTGAGGGTGGCACGGGGCACGGGGCACGGTCCCTCCGGCTCCCACAACGGGCTCTGGCACCACCAGGGCTCATTCTTCGAAAGGTAGGGCTGGGCTGAGGCCAGCAAGTCACAGAATTTGGGGTTGGGAGGGACCTCTGGAGATCCTCTGGTCCAGGTGACACAGGAACTCGTCCAGTGGGTGCCCATCCAGTGGTTACATCCGTCGTGTCGGATTCCAGCACGATCCAGAGCTCTGCTCCTCCTACAACTGCCAAGCAACCCCTCACTGCACCTGGACAAGCCCCATAGCTCATCCTACAAACTGCCAAGCAACCCCTCACTGCACCTGGAGAATCCTGAGCTCATCCTACAAACCCCTCACTGCACCAGGACAATCCCAAGCTCTGTTCATCCTACAAACTGCCAAACAACCCCTCACTGCACCTGGACGATCCCCCGAGCTCATCCTACAGCCCTCTCACTGCACCAGGAGAATCCCCTCAGCTCATCCTACAAACCCCTCACTGCACCAGGACAATCCC